TGTTTCTCTGCAGAAATGCTCATCTCCCACGCTGCCTTTGCAATGTGCTCCCAGCAGTTTTTGTCCCAGATGGGAAAAGGTGCTTACACCAAGAGCTGCCAGGCCTTCCTCCAGCAGCTCTTGGCCCCACCAAACCCTCTGGTGCGCTCCCGGCAATCACACATTTACCCTCCAGCGAAAGCTGATCTGGCCACGTATTCCAGGGGGAATCCCAGCAGGCTGGAATTAGCTCGGCAGAGACCGGCTTTTCCAAGCATGTCCTTGGCATAGTGCATGAGGTCATGAGATATTTTACATCTCCGGTCGCCCCCATGACCACAGGCACTCCAGGAAGGGGAGGCATTTCCATGCTCTCTTTTGCCAATGGGGATGCTGGCAAACCCTTTTGGAGCTGAAACCTGGGGGTGGATGAACCCCGATTACCCCAGCCCAGGCACGGCTCCACATTGCTCAGTGCAAAAATTAACCTGACAGAAATTCCCACATGGTTCAACAAGGAGTGCCCACCACCCTCATGGCTCCATCTCTTTCTGTCCATTCCATGTAGAGGCTCAGCCGAACACTAAAAAACACTTTTTAACTCAAAACTTCCCTTTCACTGCCATCACTGTTGCCTCTGGTCTGACTTACACAGCCTACACCTCTCCAATGTGCTGCCAGAGCAATCCCTGCAAAATAGGATAAAGACAAACTGGAAGAACCAAGCCCACTCCTGCACACTCATGGATCAGGCAGGATTTTGCTGGTTTTTAGGAAAAGCTGGCTGCTGTTTGGCTGCTATAAATCACTGCAAACCTGCCCAGTTCAACTTGCTTTATAGCAAGAATATGGAAGAAAAGGCACAAATGAGACCAGGGATCACCATCCCATGTGTGGGAGGCTGCTCCACGGGTGCACAGCCTGGAGTGCATCCCAGCCCACAGCCAATACCCATAAACAGGAACAATAAATCAAGCACTTCTTCAAGAGCAATTAATGACCCAAATCAACATGGACTTTGACACAGGATGGTCTTTGTCCATCCAACCCTGTCCAGAGCTAAAGCAAACAGCTGGTAGACTGTGGGTTGGAGCTCAGCTCCTGCCCTTCCTCTTCAGTGTAAATGTCCCCATTGAGGTGCTGTCCTGGCTTGGACCTGGCCACATTCCCATCACGCCTGTTCCCATCCCGCGACCGCTTTTACATCACTGATCAGAGGTTGTGCAATAGCTCAGGCCCTGCCACGTCTGTGGGCAGGATGTTCCCCACACCATGGTGCTGCCCTGCAAGTGTCCCTGAGCAGTTAATGCTCCAGGGAGAGCCTGGGATATCCATTATTCATGGAGGGCTTGAAAATAATGGCCTTCTCCATCTCAAAGAGAGTTTCTAAATGAGTCAATATTCTTATCTTAATTTCCCCAGCTCAGACACTTAATTAAAAAGGGATTGGCTATTGAGGCACTTCTGGTGCTCTCAGCATCATGGTTTCTGCCTCTCCAAGCTCTGATGGGAAGGAGAGACAGCAGATATGGCCATGGCACCTAGGAGGGAAACACCAGTGCAGCCCAGGACATCTCCAGGACATCCCCGTGACCAGTGAATCTGTCCCCACGGTATGTGGGTCTATATGTGTGCAGCAGGGTAGAAGGTAACAGTCCCTGGGCACTCCAATAGCAAACATGCCCTGCAAGAGCACTAGCAAAAGCCCTTTTCCTTTACAGATGGAATCATGGAACAGAGAGCACCCTCTTTTACATGTCAGGAGTCAGTTGTGTTGTGCTGGTGCCAGCAGACATTTGGGGGTTTACCCCATGGAACAGACCCCACAACCAGCACAGACACTTACTGTCTCTTCACTCCTGGCTCTTTCACTACTGCAGAAAAAACCTTCTTGATCTCCAGAGCTAAAATCAGTCTTTCCCTGGATCCTGGCTCTCCTGGTGTCCCCACTGTGTGCTGCATTTTGTATCTGTTCCATAAATGATGTTTATGGAGTTGAGCACTACTGAGCCCCAGTAGAAGCTTTAGCTCCCAAGCAAATCCTTCCAGAGGGAAAAAAAGGTCCACTCACTCCTTTTCTCCCAGTCATAGCCTGTAAATCCTCATCCGCACAACAAAAACAAATTCCAGTAATTCAATTTTTTGGCTCTTTTCCAAAGATTTTAGGCAGCTGGAGTGCAATTTTGTGCTGATGAAGCGGTGGAGGAGGGCTTAAGTGAAACAATATTGTGGTGGCTGCGAGGTTTGCTGGTGTTTCAGAGCTCAGAGGGAACCTCAGGGACCTGCCACATCTCCAAGTTCTCCTACAAACCATGGAAATCGCCACTCCGGCTCCTGGGATAGCAAAACAGGATTTAAAAAACAACATTAGCCACCCCTGGAGCATGGCTGGAGAAGCGCCGGGAGCCAAGTGCTTAATGAAATCCCAGCTCCCAACTCTCCCTTCTAAACCACGCAAACTTCCCCAAAGTGTTTGGGATGGAACAAAGTCATCAATCAGTTATTTTAACTCCCATCTCCGTAAACAGAAGCAAGCCCAGAAACATGCAGCAGGGGAAAATAACCGTCAGCTCCCTTTGGCGGAGCGGAGAGGGCGCAGGGAGGGAGGACAAGGGCAGCCGGCAGGGAATTAGGCATGGCCTTGGCCCAAAAGCAGATTTATGGGCCCCACAGAGCATTTTGCAGACCCCACAGCCTGTAAATTCCACATGCAGCCCTGACAGCAGCCCCTCCAACCCTGCTACCCTCCTGGCATGGTGCAGTTGGCTTTTAGAGATGGCCACTCAGCCCATGCTGTACTAGAAATGGTGGGAGGCATGAAGAGCCAGGATGAACATTAATAGCCAGTTTTCCCCTGGATTTATTAGATGAACGCCAGAAAAGTTATGGATACAACCACAAAGGAGTGTGGGGAGAGAGATGCTGCTGGCAGCATCTGCTGTCACACTCCTCTGACACTGCCCCAGCCTCAGCACTGGTCAGAGAGAGCATTAAGCATGGCAGCATTCACATAAATACCTTATGGCTTTGACATTACACATCAGTGATGAAACCATGGAAAAAAACAATGAGATTTGGGTAAGCTCCCCAGCATTAATCCAGGAGGGGAATGAGTCCAAGAAGCTGTGGATCTGCTGCTTTCTGATGGGAAGGAGCACCTTAGGCAGCTAAAGCCACTGGTGATGGGCAGAAATACAGAAGCAGTTTGGTCTGGATGCATCCTTGTCACTGGCCACAGGTACTACAGCCCTGCAGACTACCCCAGGCATGGGGCAGCCCCTGACTTGTCCCCTCCACCCCATGGGCTGGGGCACCATTCACCTCCAGGCAGATGGAAAGCTTCTCCCAGAGCCGGTGGTGCACAGCACTGGGAACATCTGGGGCTTCTCTCATGCTGTTCCCTTCAAAGTCAGCCACATGTCAGAGCTGCAGCAAGGAATGGTCAAGCCAAGAGAGACCGTGCAAATGAACTGTTTTAGAGACTTGGGATTTGCATGAACTCATAAGTCCCAAACTTGCTCCTAAAGCCACACACATATCTCCAGAGTTTGTCTTGAAAGAGACATGCTAGAGAGAAAACAGCCATGCTGAGGAGGCTGCAAAATCCCCTGCAGAAATGCCTGCACCTGCACTGGGTTAGAGCTATCATGCCATTTTCATAATGTAAGGAATAGCATTTTATTCCTTGCAGAACACCACATTTCCTTACCCAGCAGTGCGACCCATAGAAATTGATGCCAGGGTGTGGGCAAGCAGCTGGTGGGACTGGAGATGTCTTGCCAAGGCATTGGTGCTGTGCTTAGTGTGGGTCAGATGTGGTGGGAGGTGGGTTCCATCTGGGGAAGATGAATTCCTTGCTCTCTCCCTCAGCACCTTTCCCACATCTTGTCCTCATCACAGAGGGGAAACATAGATGATCTTCATGTTTATGTCAGAGGTCTGGAGCTTCCAGCTCACTGGGCACTCTCTGTCCACCATACAAACATTCTGCCATTTTTGGCACATCTCAGGTGTTTTTTCCTTTTCCCTCGTAAACATAAACAGGAGCCAGTGTAGGTCACCGCTGATTATTTTTTATGTGACATCTTGATCTGTGTTCCTCCTGCACCACTCCCTCTGGCAGCAGGGCTGACAAGGATTACTAGGAGGCAGCTTGGGACACCATTGACCCCCTGGCTACCCCAACACCCATCCCCATCTTTTGGGGGTTGCTCCTGACACATACAGCACATGCTTTCACACCACATTCCTGCAGCAACCATCTGCACAGCCCAGTGGCTCCAGGACTGCATGCATGGGTGGCAGTCACTTGCACAAGGCCACGTGCTCTGTCAACAACCAGGAGCCCTGTGTCCACAGACCACTTGCCACAAGTTACATGAGAAAAATGTGACTGCAGAGGGATAAAAAGTCTGGAAGGCTGAAGCCAGACTGGAGCAAGCAGGAAAATCTGGTTAGGGGTCATTGCTAGATCTCCCCATGGCTTGAGATGCAGTCACATTTATTTACAAGGATGGTCCTGCCTCTGCAGCTCTGTGCTACCCCGGGTGTTCAAACCAGTCCCACTGGCTTTGTCCCACATCCTCATTTGATCCCCACAGCATCCTCATTTGATCCCTGTCAGAGCCAGCACAGGGGCAGAGGTGGGCAGACAGTGCAGGGAATGGTGCCCAGCTGAGCCTACATCTGCAAAATGGGGCAAATCCACATGCACTGCTGGGTGGGCACCACATGTGTCCCAGACCGGGCAAAGCCAAAAAAGCATCCCCAAAACTCATTGCCTGTTCACTGTATCTCCACCTTCAACACTTAGCAGCATCTATTTCAGATCCAGACCCCGGGTGTACCCCTAACAGTGACGGTGCTGTGCTGGGATGCGGTGCCCACACCAGGACGTGGTACCCACACCGTGCCCCGTCCCACCAGCAGCAGCAGCCGCCACGCCGTGGCATCGCCACAGGTTTCTGTTTACCATCACCTTATTAAGGGATTATTCAGGCTGCGGTTTCCTCGCTCGTCCGATCTGTTTGTGCTCGCGGCCGGTGGCTCGCTGCCATCCCCTAAGCTACACGCCGGGCTATATAAGCGACCTCGCAGCCTCGGCGGCGGGAGGCTCGCACACAGCCCGGCTCCGCTCGGCGCACGGGAGGTTTCGGTAAGCTGCAGCTCTCTCTTCTTCCCAGCCGGCTGCAAATCCCTGAACACGCAGCTGACAAGCCCTCGTCTCGCCCGCGGATCTCAGCTCGGCTGGCGGCTCTGTGGCGAGAAGACGGGATTCTCCTTAAGTGGGGTTTTAATGGCTTTTTAGGTAAGAGAAAAAAAACCCCAATCCTGCTGTTTTCCCTTCTGTGACAGATAGTGGTTATAGAATTCTGTTAAGGGAAGGCAGCGTAATTAAGAGTGGCTGTGATTAAAGGTGAGGTGGAAATTAATTAACGGGCAGATGACGGCACAGAGGCTGAAAAACATCGATGGGGATGCAGTTCCCTGCGCCCCGCTTCTCCCTTCCTCGTCCCAGCTAATGGGCTTGGGGAAGGGTTACAGGACAGCTGGAGCGGGGGTCTGGGGGGCTTTGCTCACGTGGGGCTGTTTCATCTCCCGCGGCTCCGTCCTGGCTCGCACAGCCCCCTGCCAGACAGGGGACACAGCTCCAAACCCTCCCTGCTGCCAAGACCCGGCCGCTTAAACCCCCCTTTTTCACCATCGCCTCTCTGGGTACAGAGGGATATATCCCAATCCCAAACCCAGTGCTGAACAAGTTGCAGTCAGCTCCAAAAATAGTTGCCAAGTGGGAAACAGGATTAATTTTTTCCTGGTTATTGTCTGGCTGCGAGTTCACGACCCCACCGTAAGCCCACAAAACACCACTCATGTGTTGCTTGTTATTTTTGCTTGACTGGGATTTGCTGAGCCATAATCAAAGTATTTCCTAGTCCCACATTCCCTGGTGTCAGAGGGGATGGTTAGTACCACTTACAAATAAGAGCGTTCTCGCCAGTGACTGCTCTTTGTCAGCCCCATTTTATGGGTAAACTGAGGCACCAAACGGCTGGGGCAATATTCTTCCCTCCTTTCAGTTCATTAATTTTGGGTGCATAAAATAAAGCACCTGGAATTCCACCTGGTGTCACTAGGGATAAGTACTTTCAGAAATTAAATACCCAAATGCTTCATGCTGTAGGGCAAAGGGACTCACTGAAAATAAAATCTGAAGTGGCTGAGCTGGTGAAGAGTGACACAAAGCCTCAGTCCCACATCTGTGCCTGTGGGAAAAGGAAAATATTGAGCTCTAGCAGCATTTGCAGGAAAGACTTGGCTTGTGCATGGGTTTTTCTGCTTTCAGAGGTGCTCAGGAGCCTTCCCTCTCCTCACACTCTGGGATGTACTGGGATAAGATGCTATCCTCACACTATGCCCAGTTTGCAGGCAGAGGGATGGAGGCATGGGACTGTCCCTGCTCCTGTGGGGAGCAGATCTGGGTGCTGGGCGGCCTACAGAGCTGCGTGGGCTGTGAGAGATCCCTGCAGAAGTATTTAAGCTGTTCCTAGACATGTTAAGGAGATGCTGTTACAAAGCAGTGCTCTGCAAAATAGATTTGGGCTCAGATGTGATGGTGAGAAGCAGGGGGGATGCGAGCACAGATGTGGAGCCCCTGCTGCTCCCCACTGGGGAGATAAATGAAGAGCTGCTGGGGGTGGGTGAACAGGGGGTATAAGTGCCCCTGTGGCACGTTTTGGAGTGGTTCAGCCTGGGAGAAGCTCCCGAAAGCAGCCAGACCTGGGTGAGCTTTGACACGGTCGGGCTTGTCTCTGCAGGACTGGGGAAGGCGTGGGACGGCTGCAGAAACTCCAGGAATCCCCTGGTCACCTCTGGAGACAGCGATGGTCACCATGAAAGGCTGGATCCTCCTCCTCCTCTGGGGAGCCACGTCTGTTTTAGGTGAAGGTTAAACGTTTCCATTCTGGTCACTGTGCTGTCCCCTGCCCAGGCCAGTGCAGGCATGTCTGTTGGCAGCCGCTGAGCCAGCAGGCGCAGCCCGACATCGATGCTGGGTGCCGGTCTGGGTCACTGCGGCGTTTGCCCGGCCAGACAACTTCCACACAAGGACTGGCTCCCTTCCAGCCCCCAGAGTTTGAGCAAAGCCTGTCTGCAAGTCAGTGAGCCTCTGGTTGACCAGGGATGAGCTCCCCGGCCCACTGGTCATGCTAGGACCATCCTTGTCTGCTTTCTCTGAGATCCCATAGTGTCCAGTCTGTACCCAGAGGAGCACAGGGGCAGAGCTGGGCACAGGAGAGAGCTGGTGCTGGGGCTTAGCTCCCCAGTTTATACAGGACTGTTCCCAGCAAGCACCCCAGGAACCAGCCATGGCCACCAGCTCCCCTCGGGCATGCAGGTGGCCAGAAAGTTCAGAAACCAGCTCTTGTCCCATAAAAACAACCAACATGACCCACTCTGGATTAATTTTTCCTTCCGCATGGACAGGAAGGAGATTTTATCTCTCCAGCTATAAAAAGACTAATTGATCTGAGCTGCTCCAACACATGAAGTACAAATAAGTTTTTCTTGGGTGATAAGGGAAATAGAAAATTTGTATCATACCTGAGCTGCAGTGATGCTGTGGGACATATCCATTATGTCCCTCTCCTGGCACCTCCTGCACTGTATCCTACAGGAGCTCTAACCAGACACAGTCCAATGGGAAAGATGTAATACTGAGCCTAAGGACGCCCAATTCCTTGAATCTAATTTATTTTTTTCATTTATTTACCCTTAGGACAAAGGATTCTGAAACCAGCCCTCAGTAGGGTCCAGATAGGACAGAGAACCTTCAGCCCACTGGTAATGCTCAGCTTGGAGAGTAAGTAAATTCCCACCTTGGGTGGATTTTCCTTGCTGGACAATTTTCCCAACAATTTACAAGTAACCAGTATTATTTGAGTAGAAGAGGACATTTAGGGTTAGAATCATTCTATGATTCTATGATTTAGGCAATGGAATAAATGTTAATCATCCACGACCTCCTGTAGGCTTTTGGCTATCACTGACACATGCTGTTGGCTCCTCTCCTGGAAAAGGGAAGGTCAATGTGTGACCACAGCCCCAGCTCCTGTGGGAGGCACGCGCAGGCTGGGAGGGTGGGAAGAGCCCAGGGATGGGCCAGCACATGCTCTGACCTGCCTTTACCCTGCCCAGCCTGGCCCCACACCCTGGGCAGCTTGTGACACCATTCCTTCAGAATTAAAGCCTGTGGGGAATTAATTAACCTGTAGAGCCCACTCTGCTCATTAATCCCTGGGAGATGCCCCGACTTCTCATCTTTACTGTCCAGGGCTCTGAATTTAAATTCCAGAAGGCACTGAAAGGGCTGGCCATGCTGAAGGATTTGGGGATTTCCCCAGCCTTTTGCCCAGCTCCCAGCAGCTCTCTTAGCCACTGGGAAGAATCAAAGCACCAAAACCATGGACACTGAGAAGTCCCCTCCACTTGCTGAGAGGTATTTTTTTGAAAACCATCAGTAAAATCGTTTTCCCCTGAAAGTGGATGGCACAAGGCAGTGATGCTGGGGCTGGCTCCCTGGCTGGCAAACCCTGCCTGAATCACCCCTCTGCCCACAGGTACGAGGAGCAGCTCTCGCCGGGGAGACCCAACCTTCACCTACGTCAGACGCAGTAGGTTCCTGCCACGGGGCAGCCCTGTCCCTTCCCATGTCCCCACCAATGCTCCATCCCTCAGCTTCTCCCTCATCCTCCACATTCTGCTTTTTCTGCTGTCAAAATGCTACCTAGAGACATATAATGCCATTTTCCTCCACAGGACTTCCCTGCACATTTCCTATCATCACCAGCCCTGCAGACTAAAGCAGCTGATCCCAAACAAGCTTAGGATCTTGCTGAGATCCCACTTTAATCTGTTGCACATTCAGTTTTTGCTTGGGGCAAGCACAAATAGGCATTTATCCACAGGATGTGACCTCGTCCACAAGCCCACCTCCTCCTGCATGCCTCAAATTGCTAAATAATAAGTCATGCATCCCACTACTTGGGATGCTGAACTAGAGATGCTAACGTGCCAACAGATTAAAACCCTGCCCATTTAAGCCAAGTGCTTGCTCCAAGCCAGACATGATGCTCCTATATCTGCTCTCATTTAAAGGGTCTTTTCCACCCACCTGCTTTCATCAGCCAGGATTGTTTTCAACCACCCATTCACAATTTGAACAGTCCAGCCCTCTGCCTGTCTGCCTTTCCAGGAAACAAATCAACCTGCTCTATTACAAATTGGGTGGAAGAATAGGTATGGGAGATGACATAGCACATGTCTCCAAGAAACTTCATTTTTAGAAATTTTAGTCACTAGTGCATCCTCATAAACATTATTAGAACACTGTCATTTTTAAAAAAGCCCAAACCACAGACTTGGACTGGATCTCATCCATTCAAAGTAGCTTAAATTAATAACATCTAGTAGCCCACTTAAAGAAATTCCTTTAAAAATATAACCTCATATTAAACTCCCAGTGTGTTTTGCAAATTTTCTGTTTTACCAATCAGCTGGCTCCTGACATGTTCAGCCTGCTCGGTTGCATCTTAAGCTTCTGGTTTGCACTCAGTAAAAGTGGTGCTCACATTAGGACACAGTCTGCCCCTATAGAAAACATATGTTGTAATTTGGTTAAAGACATTCAACACGATCATACCAACAATTTTACCCTTTTTTGTAACTATTTAACCATTTTACCTTTTATTTAAACATTTAACCACATTTGAAACAGACAAGTGTTGCCCCTCAAACAACATTTAAATGAGAACGTGTGTTTGATTTCCTTAAGCCAAAGTTATTCAACACTAAGCATGAGCTGCCTGCACTTTGCTCCCCTTGGGTTTATCTTAATCATCCTGAATTTGGTAGCCTGCAGGGAATTAAGTCAGAAGCCTTCAGATGCCTTCTCATGCTTTAATTCCCAGCTCCCTGAACATGCTTTGAGTTTGTTTAATCTGTGTGGTATGTAATATCCAAATGTGTAGTCTGAGCTCTATAGAAGCTGCTAAAACCCAACTGCCCATTTTTGGGCAGCTGTATGTGTAATGTGCGTCTCAGTAACACACCACTGATGTCATTCAAGGTCCACTGGCGCAAGATTCAAAAAGGTTTTTGTCTCCATGGTCGAAATGGAGCGAGTGCTCAGCAAAGTGTGGCCAAACCGGGGTGCAGAAGCGTACCAGATCCTGCCTAGCTGAGCCCCTCTGGGGGCTGCACTGTAACGAAGCAACTGAGGAAGGGCGGCTCTGCATTGGACATGTTTGCTCAGGTGCTCCTATAAACTCACTGATGGGCAGGGGAGGATGTCGTGGTCTCAGCACTGCCCAGGTGTTGAACTCCCTTTGCTGTCATTTTACCATCTTTCTCTCCTTTGACAGAATTCAGTGATTTCCGAGCAGGGCTGGAGAGTATAAAGAGCAGAGCAGGGAGACTTTATGGCCAACAGGGATTCACAATATCTTGGGGATATAGAAAAAAATCTCATTAATCTTTTTATAACAGCAGCACTCAAGGTAGAGTCAGTGACTGCAGACAGCTGTCTCCATAAAACCTCCAGGAAATAGATGATTTGGGAATATCAAATTGCTATAGTCCCTGCTGAAGGGGCTTGTAATTAATTATATTATTCTTATAACCCCCTTTTAACCAAATAATTCTGAAAAATTCTGAAAATATGTTTTGTGCAGAAAAGTTGTTTCAGGTTTTCCCTGATTTCTTACATTTATTTTCATCTTTGAAATATCAGATAGTTCCTGTACAGGGATGCTCTGTGATTGTAAAAGGAATGACCTGAGCCTTGAGAAAAGACAGATTATTATTTAGGATTAATCACTATAGGTAAATGAGAACAGAATAATACTTGTGAGCCCAAATGTTAAACCCATTGGGTAATGCTCACTTGGCAACTACCCCACATCCTGCCCAAGCCAGGATACCATTGAATAAGGGAACACAGCTTTTGGGATAGACCAAAATCACAACTTCTGGATATGCAGTGGTAACAGAAACCTAGAAAGTTTATGACATTGAATTTGTAATCTTGCCAGGGTTGAGCTAAGAGCTCACATGCTGATCTGGATTCAAATTCCCCTGAAATTCAGCCCTTTGGGGAAGGTACATAACAGTTCCTAGCTGTAATTATATCCACGTGGCTGCTTTCTACTAATTGTCAGGTTCAAAATGACATCGTCCCTGCCTTTCTAATGCACAGCTGTGAGTAATCAGGAAAAATATGTTTTGGATACAATTTACTCCTTATGCAGTATTTGCCTTATTGCATCTAAATGAAAAGCAGATGCAAGAACATGCTGTGAGAGTTGTGGGGACTTGGGGCTATTTTTTGACCGGTCTGCTTCTCCTCCAGCCTGCAACATCACCTGCCCCATGGGCCATGTCAATGCTGACTGTGACACTTGCATGTGTGAGGATGCCACCCTGCACGGGAAGGTGTCTCTTGAGGATGGGTCACCTGCTGCCGATGCCCGGGTCTACCTGCAAGCCAAGAAACTCAAGCTGTTGACAACGGCCGATAACAGAGGCATGTTTATGATCCCAGGGGTTTGTCCTGATGGGAAAAACACCCTTAAGATAAAGAAAGCCAAATATGCAACAGCGACTGTCACTGTGCCTGAGAGCAACCGGAGAAACCTGGCAATCCAAGTGCAGCTGCACCGATCAGGTAGGCCCAAAGAGGGGGGATGCAGGAAGCTTTATACAGGTGTCAGAAAGAAACTGTGGTTTTATGAGAGGAATAGTAATGAGATGGCATTTTCCTTCTCCTGCAGGCAAACCCTATGTTTTCAGGAGCCCTGAGGACAAAGCCAGGAGAGTGGGACAGAGCGTGTCACTCTGCTGCGACGCCCGAGGGAGCCCAGCTCCCGACCGCTACCTCTGGTAAGGAGCTTGAATTTGATCTGCCAGAAGTCTTAGCTGTCCCATGGATGCCAGTTTTATCTCCTTACCATCTCCACAAGTTGGGGGGTTTAGTTATAAAACAGTTAAATGCGCTGAAAATTGATGGCTGCAAGTGATCCTCTTCCTCAAGATGGCACAGCTATGTCATCTGCTGAGGGAATCACTGGAAAAATACACTAGGAGTTTAAAAACCTCATCAGACACAATTGGCAGCTCTGCCTCCCTGCCAACTGTCCAGCAGCCACATCACAGTACTGCCACGAGTAAGGGAAAATTTTTAGGTGATGCCACCTAGCCAAACTAAAACCTCAGGGAAACTGAGGCAGGAAATCTGGCAAAATCCACATTGCAGGATGCAGGATTAGCCCATTGCTGTGCTCCAGCCAGATGGTCAGTCTCTGTCCCTTAACTGTTCCTGGCAGGTACCACAATGGCTCACTGCTGGATCCCTCCTTGTACAAATATAAAAACAACCTGATTCTGAAGAACCTGAAGAGAGAACAGTCAGGAGAGTATTTCTGCAAGGCGAGCAGTGCCGGGGGGTCGGCAAAGTCCCAAGTTGCCAAGCTGGCTGTCATAGGTAAGAGAAAATGTGCCTGATGTTCTCCAAGCAGCTGGGGAGGTGTTGGTGTGCAGGAACCAGAAACTGTTATACATCTGGTAAAGAAAAGTCACAGGAAAAATTCATGAGGTTTATGTCATTCATCTGTTTGTAGACAAGCTTTAGTGAGCTGGTTATGAACCAGATGCTCCCTACAAACGAGAGCTCTGGACTGCAGGTGGCCTATCAACCTCAACCTGCTGCTGTCAGGAGATTTCTCACTGTACTTGCTGCCTGACATGGGAATATTTCTGCTTGTTTAGAGTTGTTTTTAAAGTCTTGGAACATATTCTAATCTTGCCATAGTCAAAAAGCCAGGCAGCAACAGAGCATCTAGCTGAGATGACCATAGTGGATAAGCAGGATTAGGGTGGATCCTGCAAACAGCTCTTAATCAGGGTCCTAAAGCTAAAGCTGAGCTACTTGCTTCACTGAAATTAGTTAACCAGCTCACCAAAATCCTGCAAAAACCTCACTGCTTTTAGGAGCAATGTTTAGCTCTGAGGTTTCAGACAACAGAGCGATAACTGTACAATTATTTCATGCTGCTCATTAAAAAATCCTATTCAACAGGAAGACAAGAGGCAGCCTGTGACTCCCAGCCCCAAAGCCACCTCATCCGACTTCCTCACGATTGCTTCCAAAAAGCAACAAACTCCTTCTATTACGACGTGGGCAAGTGCCCAGCAAAGACCTGTGTAGGGAAGCTGGATAAGGGACTTCGGTGTAAGGACAATGTCTCCTACTGCTGTGGGGTATCCAAGATGGAAACCAGGGACATCTCCTGCGATGGCTACACGCTCCCCACTAAAGTCATTGTCGAATGTGGTTGCAAAATATGCACCGAGACCAAAATAATGGTTCGAGGCAGAGCCACAGCAGCAGATAATGGTGAACCACTGAGATTTGGCCACATCTACATGGGGAACAAGAGAGTGAGTATGACTGGCTACAAGGGAACCTTCTCCATCCACGTCCCAGCAGATATGGAGAGACTGGTTCTAACTTTCGTGGATCGGCTGCAGAAGTTTGTGAACACAACAAAAGTTCTGCCCTTCAAGGAAAACGGAGGTGCTGTATTTCATGAGATCAAGCTACTGAGAAAGAAAGCCCCTGTTACACTGCAATCCACCGAAACCAATGTGATTTCTTTGGGGGAAATGGAAGAAGATGATCCAATTGCTGAATTAGAAATTCCTCCCAATGCATTTTATAGAAAAAATGGAGAGGTCTACAGTGGCAAAGTGAAAGCCAGCGTGACATTTCTGGACCCAAGAAACATCTCCACAGCCCCTGTGACACAAAGCGACCTGAACTTTGTAGATGAGGAAGGAGACGTATTTCCGCTCCGTACATACGGGATGTTTTCTGTGGACTTCACAGATGAACAGGGCACCGAGTCCCTCAATGCAGAAAAGGTGAAGGTTCATTTGGATGCTGCTCAGGTCAAGATGCCAGAGCATGTGCAAGAGATGAAGCTTTGGTCCCTGAACCCAGAGACAGGGTTATGGGAGGAAGAAGGGGACTTCAACCTCGAGAAAAGCACACGGCACAAAAGGGAGGAGAGAACCTTTTTGGTTGGGAACATGGAGATCAAAGAGAGGCGCCTTTTTAACCTGGATGTCCCTGAGAGCAGACGGTGCTATGTCAAAGTCCGAGCCTACAGAAGCGAGCGATTTCTGCAAAGTGAGCAGATCCAAGGGGTTGTGATTTCTATTATAAACATGGAGCCAGAACCAGGGTTCTCCTCCAACCCCAGAGCATGGGGCCGTTTTGACAGCGTAGTCACCGGTCCCAACGGCGCCTGTGTGCCCGCCTTCTGTGATGAGCAAAACCCCGAAGCCTACGGAGCTTATATCTTGGCAAGCATGGGGGGTGAAGAGCTCGAAGCTGTGCCCTCTGCTCCCAAACTCAACCCTGTTGCTATTGGGGTCCCACAGCCATACCTCAACAAGCTTAACTACAGGAGGACAGACCACGAGGACTCCAACATCAAGAAAACAGCATTCAGCATTAACATGGCCAAGCCAAGCCCTAACTCCCCAGAAGAGAACAATGGCCCTATTTATGCCTATGAAAACCTCAGTGAATGTGAGGAAGCTCCACACAGTGCTGCTCACTTCAGGTTTTACAGGATAGAAGGAGACCGGTATGACTACAACACGGTTCCCTTCAGTGAAGATGACCTCATGAGCTGGACCGATGACTACCTGGCATGGTGGCCCAAGCCCATGGAATTTAGAGCCTGCTACATTAAAGTAAAAATAAACGGACCCCAAGAAGTGAATGTAAGATCTCGTAACATGGGTGGGACACACCCACGCACCATCGGCAAGCTCTACGGCATCCGGGATGTGCGCAGCATCCGTGACCCCCAGCAGCGGGACGTGTCAGCAGCCTGCCTGGAGTTCAAGTGCAGTGGAATGCTCTTCGACCAGGACCGCGTGGACCGCACGCTCGTCAAAGTGATCCCACAAGGCAACTGCCGTCGAGTGAGCGTCAACAGCATGCTCCACGAGTACCTGGTGAACCACCTCCCCATGGCCACCAACAACGACACCAGCGAGTACACAATGCTGGCACCTCTTGACCCGCTGGGACACAACTATGGCATCTACACAGTCACTGATCAAGACCCAAGGATCGCCAAGGAAATCGCCCTGGGCAGGTGTTTCGATGGCACATCTGATGGCACGTCCAGAACCATGAAGAGTGATGTTGGCGTGGGGTTGACTTTCACCTGTTCGGAGAGGAGCACGACAGAGCAAAGCATCTTCCAGTCTCAGAGGAACTTGGGCCAGCAATCTCCGAGGGACCCGGGCCGGCAGTCTCCGAGGGACCCGGGCCGGCAGTCTCCGAGGGACCCGGGCCGGCAGTCTCTGAGGGACCCGGGCCAGCAATCTCCGAGGGACCCGGGCCGGCAGTCTCCGAGGGACTGGAGCCAGCAGCCTCCGAGGGACTGGAGCCAGCAGTCTCCAAGGGACTCGGGCCAGCAGTCCATCCTGGTTCTGCCAGGGCAAAGCCCTGTGTACCAGAGGCCGCCGGCAAGCCGCCGTAACAACCAAGCCAGGATCCCGATGACAGGTCAACGTCCCACCTACTAGAGCTGTATAGGAGCATTGGTAAAGTCACTCACGCTCAATTAAATATAATTTGAAAGTAACATCAACCTGCTAAATAACGTAACTGAAAGCTGGTAGGTGTCATTATTTATGAGACATAATTAAGGTGCCATTTTTTTTCCCCCCACCAGAAAGAAAAGACGTGAGAATTGGGGCCCAGCAGAGGTAGTAAGTTTGTGTCTTATTAAATGCATCCATAAAAATCTTCTTTCCGCCTGACATTAAACAGCTTCACATGATAGCCTGAAGGGAAGACTAAACACATAATTCAATTAAGTGATGTACATAAAACATTCTTCTGTTCTGCATCTGCAGACTTTGCCAGCCCAAGTACCTGTACAGTAGTTGGTAACATGAAAAGGAATAAACTGATTTCCTCATACTGAATTCAACTGCAAGGTTTTGTACTTGAAATGTAAGTATTTTATTTATTTCTAGCTTGTTTTAGAATTACTGTATTCAAGCTAAACTACTGGCAGCTGCATTTTTAAGAACTCACATGCTCAATAGCACAGAGAAGCCATGTGGATTTGTAGGCTCCACATAGATACAGCTAAAATTTTCTCTTGCTTCTTGCATTATTTGACAAGAAAATCTATGCTCTATGATAGGGTAGGTTAATAAAAAAAGTAATTTTGTAACTTTGACAATGTGTGTCACTTTTGTGTTTGAAATGCCCAAGTAAATAAACCACATGTAGAGCTGAGCAAAGAATAAGCTGCAGGATTTCATCTTTCTGTTCACAAACAGGTCACAACTTTCTCAGTGTGAGACTGATCCTGGATATGGGTGAGGGGTTTTGTGGATGTCTGGCTCTCCTGCAGCTCCAGGGTTTGGCCATGGCATGCTGCAGTCAGGGAATCTCTCCCCAGCTTGACAAGTGGAAAGTCAGCACTGGTTCTGGGAGAATCAGAGCAGCAGGTCTGGGCAGGGATGGATTAAGGAGTGGCACAAGACAGAGGGAAAGGAGGGCTGGGAATTTGTGCTTTAAGGATGATAGGAAACCAGACAATGTAGAGCAGTGCTGGGTGGAGATAGGGAGAAGACAGGCTTCCCTCCACACTCAGCAGCAGTGAGCATAAGCAGCTGGCAAGAAGCTGCTCTTAGCTGAAGGTACAGCTGGCCACAGAAGGGGTCAGTGATCCCTCTCCAAGTGACCTATTAAATTGTCCTTTCAACCCCCCACCCTTCCTAGAGTGAAATCAAGGGCCTCACAGCACAGAAGACATCTCATGTTTACAGGCAAACACTGGCAATGAACTTTTGGGGTGCAGACAAACCTGCAAGTCTCTGATACCAAAACAAGAGAGATCATGAAAAGGTGGGCAGTGCAATTGGTTGCAAACTGGAATTCAAACACATGCTCCAACATGGATTTCCCTCTCCTACCTAATCCCCTCCTATGGATATGAAGGCAGTTCTAGGCCTAAGCTTCCATACCCACTGCCCATCAAGGGCATCAGGAATCTTTCAATAGTGTTCAGCAAACTTGTTCTCAGGTCTGACACAGGGCAGGCTGAATTATGCCTTAACTGGTAAAAAAAAAAAAACCTTAATAATACACTTTTTAATGCAAATTGACAGTTATCAAAGAGAAGCAGAAAAGGAATAGCTGTGGAATACTCTGGCACATCCTCTTCATACCAATGAATTTAGACTCAGTGTGTTTTCTTTTGTGTCTAGTCTGCTGCAAGGGCTTGGCAGGAGCTGGAGCCAAGGCAGCCAGTGGGGAGCATTAGCTTGGACCTTCCCACAGAGCTCTTGGCTTGCACAGAGAAATGTCTCTTCCCTCTGCTCCCCTCCTCCTCTGCAGACAGACAGCCAAATCCCAAACTTAGTTTCATCACTTTGAGAGTGAAGTAACACAAATGACTTCTACAGACAAACCCAGGAGATAAATGGATGAAAGCAGGCTCAGTATCTGATCCCTGTGCTGCATGTGGGCTTGACAGTCAAACACAGCAGACTACAGGGCTCTTCCTTCTGGGGAGAAATGTGTGTTTAACAGCACTGAAATAGTCACAGCCCTACAGCCTGGAACAGCCAGAAGCTCTCCAAGTTTCCCCAAACTGTCCCCCCTCTGCAGCTTAGCACTGGCTTGGAGGAACAAACTAATCTGTGCACTCACTGAGTCCCTGAGCTCTCCCAGGAGGCTTCTGGCAGACTGGGCTGGACACAAAGCAAGACAGAGGTTTCAAACACGGGTGCTTAAGCACTACCAACAGAAAACAACCATGACATAACCACAACTCAGTGCTAACACTTCACCATTACTGATGAGCCACCATCCCAAATACATGAAGAAAAGTTTATACAGGAGCAAAGCCACAGCAAGGTCCTTGCATCTGCTACTCACACAAATTTTATGCTACAGTTCCATGTCAGTTCTGACTCCTCCAGCTTGTGTTTATGGTCGGTGTATGGCAGTGTCCTTTCTGCAGCCTGAGACCCAATGCACACTCCCACAGATCAGAGAGCATCAGCTGGAGGAATGCAGGAAGGCTGGGACTCAGCTCCTCCCTTGGCCTTAGCCTTTGGACCACCAACCTTGAGGAACAGGCTGAAGAAGGAGACCTGGCTCCTAAACATCAGCAGGTTTGTGGCTAATGGCAAAGCATCTCCCATTAAGGTCACTTAGTTTCCAATCCACAGATAAATCCAGTGACCTATCCCTCCTGTTTTTGAAGGAAACTATTGCTTCCCAGAAGCTATCAGGACACTAGCAGATAGGATAAACAAAAGGAGAGATATTCTTGTCTGGCCTCAACCAGCAAATTGTTGGCAGATTTTGCAAACAACTTTATAAAAAGGCTCAAGTACTTCTCTGATTAGTCACTTACACTTTTTATTTATTTGTAATGTATTCAGAAAACAGGAATAAAGAGGTTTCCTAGGAAGCAGGGGGAGTAGTAAGGTTGCGGAACATGAAACAGATGCATCTAATTGTGAGTCACCAGCACCCTAGGAAATATCACTCTCTCTACTAACATTTATTTGAAATCCATGATGAAATCATCCCTATCCAACACCAGAGCCCTTCTGGTGCCCAACTATGTTGCAGTTCTGCCAGTAATTTGGTCCCAGTGATGTTAAACTGAGCTATAGTGGACATTGGGTCTGTGAATACCTCAGTTGCTTTCCCTCTCTCCTCTGAGAGGAGGACAACTGTTTTATTTCACTAAGATCCTGTTCCAATGGCCAGGGTAGCTGTACTCAACCTTGTCAGTGGTACTGGGGATCAAATCACTGTGTCTGTGCTCCAGAGTCAACCCTGACATGCTATTCCACACTTCATCAGTGAATGCCCCATTTTTGTTTTGTCTGCAAAAATAATCAGATTTTCATTACTTACTGAGTTAAATCCCTGCAGAGCCAGGTGAAAGCAAAGTTTCCAAAGAGACATTTTGGCTAACAGCTGCCTGGGGAACACCAATTCCATTTAAAACTTCTCTACCATGCCAAAAATAGCATGCCAAAGACTTTCCCCATAAAAAAATTAATTAATCTTACCTTCTTTTGCTCCATAAAATGACTTGGGTAAAGTTGTGCATATTCAGAGCTAGGACATTACACAACTCAGAATGGTCTAATCTTTTATAACCTCTCACAGAGAAAGCAAAAAAAGCCTTATAGCAAACTCTGCACAGATCAAAAGATTAAGTTACAAGTACATGGGATCCTGGCTGAAATATGTTTTAGACATTATTCACTATTAAACAACTAACTGAAGGCGTTCTGTACCAGATTTTCACCATCTTCTGTCCAGCTGTCCTTGGTTTTCACCCAAAAGGGATGCAGCGAGCTCCATCTACAGGGATTCTGGGCACATGCCACCTCGAACTTCCCAAAAACACAGTCAAACTCTTCCTGTTGCTTTATGCTTTAGTGAGAGCCAGATTATTGTCTGCCAGCAATAGGTCTCACACTGGACATGACCTAAAACTGAGGATGAGAGATACACAAAGGAGTTAAAAGAGTTTTTCTCATGTCACTGCTAGGAAGAAGCTATTGATTTATCAGTTTGGTTATCTAAAAGCCTTTAACCTGGACTATTTTGCCTGAACTTTTTTCACTGTATTCTTTCTGTGGGAGTCATGCTTCACTGTTCACTTTGCTCAGGTTATAATGAACAAGAACTAATTTTCCAGTGCCTAAGGAACTGGAACATCTGAAAAGTTGGATCCTGAAACACTGAAATTGTTGAGTCCCAGTTAACTAAAACACTTAAGTCCAAAACTCTTTATAATTAGTGCTCAAAATTATGTCTAAATTGTGGTGGTGGGGTTTTGCCATACAGAGAGGCAGCAAGCCCCAGAATACTCTCCAAACCACCCACTACCCCCACAAACCCACAGAAAACTCACTGACCCACCCACCCTTCTATTGGCATAAAGCAGTTACTAACATTTCCAGACTGATCTGAGCAGAATAAAAACAAAGCGACTCCACAACTTGCACTTGCAAAAGGTAGCAGGGAGCAAAACACAAAAATACATAATTTTCTTGGAAGCAAACTTGCCAGATTTAGAATTTCTGCAGCACAAACTGCACTGAGTCTGCGGTCAGGAACAACAGGAATTCTCTACAGGAGCCTGACTTCCACCTTGCTGTTGTTTCCAATTTTTGACTCTGATTCATAGGCTTGGATTTCTTGGAGGACCATGTGTTTTGGAAAACCTGTCAGAGGCAATTAATTGATGGTCTAATGGCAGTAGAAGAAAAATACTGCAGCAGCTGCTTTAACAGATGCTTCTTCAGAAACATTTCAATCCTTGTGATATGACACATTTTTCTACATTTTTTGCTTTTACTTCAGTAGAACTCACAAAAAGCAGGAAAAAGTTAGCAAATATTACAACAGCTCTAAGATATGGCCAGTCTTTGCTCTGCTGTTATGCTCAGTGCTACATTACCTCTTTTAAGAAACTGTAAGAATCACAAGTTTTGGGGTTCTCGACATGAAATACTCCTTGTATAGGCCATTAAGCAAAGACAGATTGAGAAAAATCTTGGATTAGATTAACAACTCCTCATCAGGTAAAAACCTCTCCCATCAGAAAGTGAAACAGTAGAACATAAATTTTCTGGATGGAGGGCACAAAAATTTTAAATGGGGTGTATCTCAGGACATGAAAACAGAAAGGGGAAGGAAGAAAATCATGATGGACAGGGAAAGATGCACTTATGTTCCCAGCTAAGTTAGTCACCTCAATGCAGGGATCCAAAGAGAATTTTAGGCTCCACAAGAATATCAAACTAGACAGTCTAAGTCTCAGTAAGCATTAAAAAAGCTCACTGGGTTTTAGTATTTCCAGATTAAAGTAATTGTCCAAAACTTATGCCAAAAGAAAATTACACCAAAGTCCTCAAAAAAACCCTGAAAATGTAGTATAAAAATAAATTTATTTCTCAACAGTGGAAACAGGGATTTATTCAATATCTACAGCACTCATGGAGATTCTCTTCCTTAGTGGGGAAAGAGAAGTATCTTCAGGAAGCCACCATGAAAACATGTAGATGACAATCAGATGAAACACTATGGGAAGAAATCCCTTAATTAAGTTGAATGTTATAGGTGGGCTTTGAAATATTTTATATTAACTTACAGACATTAAAAAATACATTTATTGCTTTATATCCTGTGCCA